TTCAGAATAATTTTAAAAATGCACACTGGGTAGCTTCTTCTCCCCCCCCCCAGCTATGGGTAAATAACAGGACAGACCAGGTTCTATAGCCTTGGATGGTAACTGGACTACCGCAGAAAGAAATCGCAACCTACTATGGGGAAAAAATCTGCCTCGTCAGTCATGTATCAAAAGATACCTGATCACCTAAGCATGTATCACGCATGGCACATAACTGACTGACCTCAACAGCTGATATGTTGTGATAACAAAACAAAAATGAGGACAATAGTGTAAATAATGATTACTCCTCATCCTATAAATTCAGACCGACATCTTTAATTATCTCCGTTAATTATCTTATTTAAGGTTTGATCTGATCGCAAGCAATATTCTCTTCAACACATTGACTGCCAACAATTAGCAGTTTTTATTATCACATCAACTGCAAATTATTATGTGCTTGGCATTTTCTGATATATTTTCAACATTGAGTTTATTTGCAATAAGGCTCATGGCCATATTATGTGGAAACACCTGTTCCCATCAAACAACATCGAGTCTGGTAAATACCTAGATGGGTGCCCATTTAAGAATACCAGGTGCTGTAAGGTTGGACGTGCAGGTGGTGTAATGGATAATGGTTCAGTGTTGTTAATCAGAGAGCCAAGTTCCAATTCCCGTTGGGTTCATTGTATTCACTTACGGGCAAATACCCTTGGTAAAAATATGAATCCATTTACTTACTGCCCAGTTATGGATTAATTAGTAAAACTTGTATAACCTTAACTATTAAAAAAAACTAAAAAACTTAACTAAAACTTTAAAAAAAATAGTAAACAAAACTTAAAAATAGTAAAAAAAAAAAAAAAAATTAACTAAAAAAAAAAATTCTTACAATCTAAAAATATTTTCTGGCTTTAAATAACCAATCAATATTTACCGTGATACCTTAATGCAGTGGTTCCCAAACAATTTTGGGAACCCCTGTCTTAATGTGAAAACAATGTTAAAAATTCAGTTGAGACAAAAAATCAACTCATAAAAATTCTTTATTGCCTAAGTTGACTATTATAAAGTTGGCATTTGAAGTCAGCTTCTGTTAATTGATCTCTGGCAGTCAATGTGTTAAAGAAACTTTAACAAATAAATTTGAAGTTTATTTATAATATTAATATTGTTTTCTCTATAAACACCAAGGCTATGCATATGTATGCTAGAAGCTTTTCAGGAAAGAGAAAGATAGCCTGAAATGGAGAATTCACTGGTAGCAATAAAAGAATTTAAAAATTGTGAAGACATCTGGAGACTGTTTAGACAACCATTCAAACTCTTTCATAATACACAGGAACAAAATTGTCCATAACTTTGATTTTACAAATGCCACCCTATTTTTTTTTTTTTGAATCACCCCAAGTAAGCTAGTAATGCCACTAAAATATACTGTCTAATATACTGTAATCCTGGGAAGAGTGATAAAGGAAAAAGAGATAGCTTATAGTATACCTGAGACGAGGACTATCAAGAGAGTATAAAATTTACTGTAAACTTTGAAAAGCCTACATTGGATGATTTGTTTTATTCATTGAAGAAATTCCAGTTGAAGAAAATGATGCATTACTTCCAGACTATTAGCTGAAAAACTCCTTGTGAGGAGGGCACAAAAGAAAGTGAAACTCCACGTTCAACAAATTCAAGTGATAATATGTGAAATGATCCTAGTGTAGAAATACCTGAGAGATGATACCCAAGCAGGTTACGAAAAATGCCTGAATATTTACAAGATTACGGTGTTAAAAATTTAGATAACATAGTAAATTCGAATGTAGTTTATCATTGTTTGTTGAAAAATATGCCCACTAAATTATGATGAAGCTATTACTTCAGATGACCATAAAATGATGAGAGGCCATGGAAAAAGAAATAGCTGCTCTAAAAGTGATTAATTTGTATGAACTAATAGAGCTTCCACTTGGTAAAACTGTAGCAGGCTGTTGATGTGTGTGTACACTATTAAAACAAATGACACTAGTGAACATTTCAAAGCAAGATTCGTTGTAAAATGCTATTGGCAAAAACCTGGCATAGATTACCATGAAACATCCTCCCCTACAGCTCGATTATCATCAGTAAGAATTTTAATGCAATTACCTGTTCAACATAATTTATTTGTCCATCAAATGGATGTAAAAACAGCATACTTAAATGCACTGATCAGCTGTGAAGTGTATATCAAACAAGCAGAGGGCTACTCCATCTTCAGCAAAACCAATAACAAACTTGTATGGTGATTAAGGAAATCCTTATATGGACTTAAGCAAAGTGGATGAAATTGGGATCAAGTTCTTCATACATATTTAATTGGTGAAGGTTTCTCTCAATCTTTGGCGGATTCTTGTATTTACACAAAAAACACTTCTAATATGGTACTGATTATGATTATTTGAGTTGACAATATACTAATTGGTGCCAGTTGCAATTCTGCGTTAAATAATGTAAAAACATGTTTAAGTGAACAGTTCAGAATGACTGATCTTGGAAAGCTTTCTTTCTTGGAATGCAGTTTAAGTTTAAAAATAACCATATTGAAATGAATCAAATTATATTGTAAAAATTCTAACCAAATTTATAATGCAACATTGTAAACCTAGATCAATACCCTGTGAAATTATTATCAATCTAATGGATGAGAGAAATACTGAACCAATAGACAGAAAATATTATTGAGAGATAGTTGGCAGCCTGATATACGTTATGACTGCCACTTGTCCTGATATTAGTTACTTGCTAATAAAAGTGTCACAATATTCCACAAATCCAACCATGGATCACTTGATAAAAGTCAAACAAGTCTTGAAAGGTACAAAAACACACAGATTAGTGTTTTAATAAGTCGAATAAGCCTCTAACTTTAAGAGGTTTTTATCAACCTGCAAAGCAGCGTACACAACATTGGCAGCTGCCACACAAGAAGCAGAATTCCTTATTCAATTATTAGCCACCATAATTAATGCAACTAAAAAACAGGCCATAATCTATTGCAAAAATCAAGGTACTATTGCTCTGGCTAAAAACCTAGTCTACCATCAACGTTCAAATCACATAGACATAAAGTACCACTTCATAAAGACTGAAATTCAAAAAGGTACAATAAAATTAAGCTACATTCCAACAGAAGAAAATGTTACCAATTTGTTTACTAAACCTATTGGCAGAACAAAATTAAATAGATTTTTTAGTGCACTAAAAGTGCTATACTGAACATTTTTTTTTTGCATTTTAATTGCCACAGTTTTTTTTGTTTTTTTTTTCCTCCTTTTTGTAAAAGGAATAATGAGAAAAGGAAAAAAGAGAAAATATTAAAAAAAAGAAATAAGGAAAGATTTAAAATATTTAAAAAAAGAAAAATTCATTTTATTATGTGTGAAAATTATGTATTTGTAAATGTTTTGCATCTATTTTGTTGATAATTATTGGCCCCCATAGAAAGTGGGGTTAATATGAGTGCACTCATCCATCTAGATTGAAGGAGAAGTGTTGATTTCACAGAAGTCAGGAATGCACAAAATGCATGCTGGGATATTTTTCTTAGCCAATAAAATGGGATGGCTTGTGTTTTGACATGACTCAATCCAAATTTGCCCTATCTACGAGACAGACCTACTGCTTGCTTATGTGTACAAAAACCAACTCATAGTTTGTAAATTCTTTTGTCTTACCTGTTTGATTTGCTTTAACTACGAGGGTCATTCAATAAATAAGGTGAATTTTTCAGTATAAGGATTTCTAATACAGATAGAAGCTTACTTTTTTTTCATTTTTCAACATTTTTCAAGTGTCTCCCAGCACTGTCACACACTTTTCCCATCTGTGCACAAGCTTCCGTATTCCCTCAGCGTAAAAATCTTTGGTCTGATGTCTCAGCCAGTCGCTCACAACACTTCTGACTTCATCGTCACTTTTAAACTTTGTGCCTCTTGTGAACGCTTTCAAGGGACCAAACAGGTGAAAGTCTGAAGGGGCAAGGTCTGGGCTGTAAGGGGGATAAGGGATCAGTTCCCATCCCAGCTCGTTGGTGGTCTGCACCGTTTGGGCTGCTGTGTGAGGCCTTGTGTTGTCATGATGCAAGATGACTCCTTCTGACTGATGACCCCTGCGTTTGTTCTTTATGTCTTTCTTGACCTGCCTCAGCAGTTCACCGTAGTTCTTCTGTCAGACTGAATGAGGTCATTGACTGATTCGATCACCTCAGGAGACCTCACTTCTGTAGGCCTCCCAGGCCTGTCTTCACCCTCAACACTGCTTCGTCCTTCTTTAAACAATTTAGCCCACTTGTAGACATTTTTTTGGCTGAAACATGTGGCACCATACACAGTTGACATTCTCCTATAATTTCAACTGGTTTGCCTATCAACAACCAAAAAACTTGATAACTGACTGCTGTTCATTCCTGGAGCATGCTTCTTGGTCGGCCATCTACTGCTAGTTTACTTTAAAAAAAAAAAAGTGGTGTCATGGGAAAAACCCTCCTGTTGATACTACATCTTATTGCAGGCACGTTCATTCATGTTTGCCCTCCTTTTTTTCAAAGCTGTTGGAAAGAATGCCAAGAATTTGTAAAGCAGTAATTATGGCAGATGGTGGTTTTGTTGAGTAAAACAAAATATGATGCTGTTGTATCACCACTTTTTTTATAGTTAAGTGCTTATTATTTGTCAAAATAAAAGCACGTACACTGTAGTTACTGAAATTTTCTTTTATAAAAAACAACTTATTTTAAGGTGTTTTTTTTTTTTGTTTTAAAATACAGGGTGACCCCAAACTTTTTGCCTGTTGTATCCATAAATCCATCAGAGATATTAAATCAGTTCAGGTTACTTGAAATTTTACAATAGATAAAATCCCCAATAATTCTAAAATATTATTTCCGATAATCCTTCACATGAACAGTGAAAAATAATCTGCCAAAGTTCCAATTCACTTAAACAGCATAAAATATACTGTCCTGTTTTATTTCAGCTATGTCACGTGGTAGACCCGGTGCCCCACAGTCGATCGTCAATCCAAATGAATTATTATCACAAGAAGATATTCTGCAAGAAGATTGGTGCTTATTGGAGCTCGGCAACCATCTTCGGGAGCCTATAACCGTGCTGCATTGGTTAGCACAACGACGACTCATTCGAAACAGTCTACATTGCAACCAATGCAACCAGCCATTTGGGCTGAATGCCTATCAAGATGCAACAGATGGTTATCGCTGGTATTGCAAATCATGTAAACTTCGTCGAAGCGTCAGAGACGATTCATTCTTTGCTCACAGCAGGTTACCGCTAAAGCAACTGATCTGTTATGCCTATTGCTGGAGTCGCAACATGGCGCAGAACGACATCCTACATGAAGCACGTATGAACAATGCTAGTAAAACACTTGCTGCTTGGGGCGTTCACTGTCGTGATATCTGTGAAATGGGAATTGAAGAAAATCCCTCAATGATCAACAATTTGAACAAAGATGGCACGCCTGTGTTTTCAGCATTTATTTGCTGTGTAGTCCACCATTACCGGTTGTAATAATGTTTAATTGTAATAAATGTATATACCTTGGTCCTATTGATTTTATGCTGTTCAGAGAAGAACAGTTTATATTTTGCCACATAAGTGAGGGATTACCTTACTTACCTGCATAGTCTACCATTACTGGTTGTAATAATGTTTAATTGTAATAAACATATATACCTTGGTCTTAATGATTTTATGCTGTTCAAAGAAGAACAGTTTATTTTTTGCTGCTTAAGTGAGGGATTACCTTACTTCCCTTGTAAAATTTTCAGCTATCTTTTGAAATAATATGTACGTTGTACAATTTTTGGTTCAGAAAGAAAATATTATCCACTGAAAAATTGTTTAATTAAATTAATTTTTAATTTTTTTTATTTTGCTATGTGTATACTTCTGAAATGTGATTAAATAAGAATACTGATTTTTCTAGACAAAAGTGTGAAGTTGAACACGTCATTACATTGGATATTTTTAAAAGAAAATTAAATTTTATTTTTTGTTTGTATATAAGAAACATTAAGAAATAATTGTATTACTTTTTTGATTATTTCCAAGTTAACCCATGCATGAGCAACAGTAACTTTAAAATGATTTAGTAATACAAGTCTTACTAATTAACCCATAGCTAGGGGGAGAAATGGTGGATTCTTACAAACATAACAAACCCAACTCTCTGATTTCTAAACCATTATCCATTGCACTACCTGCACATTCAAACTTCCCAAGAGGTTACTCATCTAGATACTGAGCAGACTTGACGTTGCTTAATTTTGGTGACTGTACTGGAACTGAACATGATATGGCCGTAAGCCAGGACTAGGATTAATTTTGCACAAAGCAAATTGGGTCCTGTCTGATAAAGGATTTGTCATAATGATTTGAGGCACAGTTTTACAAGGCTGGATGCTCTTCCTGCCATCCAACTCAAGACATTTACAGTAGTTCAATTATACTGAGTGTTTTTATTGAGGCACCACCTCTAGGAAGGTTACCATTCAAGACTTGAGACCCCATTTAGTCACACACACACACACACACACACACACACATACATATATATATATAACAGAAGTTTAACACCATAGAACCTATATATATAGGTTTGAAAATGCAAAAAACATTCTTCTTTAAGGATCCTTTTCAACCAACACATCATCATCAGAATACATTGATAAATACTGACAAAATAACAATTCACACTGTGAGAAAAATATGAGAAAAAAAGAAACTCATCTAAATTCAAATTTATTAATAAAAAGTATGAAGAAAAAATATATTGGCAAAAGAGCCAGTGTAAAGGATTCCCAATGAGTATAAAATGGAAAAATTCACTCCCATACTTCCTAAAAGACTGAGAGAGAGAACAAAACGCTCTTTCTGTCTGCACAGTTGATGTAATTTAATAAAATCTCTTCCAATATGCCTAAATACTGATCGGACCAAGCTCTGCACAGGACAGTAAACTGTCATTATATCTTGCCTCACACTCCGGATTGTCTAGCAAATGTTGCCCAATGGCCAAGTTGTGAACAGACTGTGTACAACACATACTGAAATTAAAAATACCATGTGTTATATTTACATTAACATCATGTCCGACCCGCGTTTCAAGTCACTGATTGGTTCATCCTACATAGCCTCACACTGACATTTGAATTGATAAACAACAGAATTATTAGGTTGGTGCAAAAATAATGACATAATAATGTCGTTTTTGACGTATTTTTAACATCAAAAACGACATTATTACGTCATTATTTTTGCACCAACCTAATACATTGGTGGTAGGAGAAACCATCTTTGAAAAATGAGGGAAATATTGGATTAGTCACTAAGACATTTAACCTAACTGCCAAAAACAATCCAATGTAACACAGGCTGGCACTCTACTGTCGAGTGTCTGACTTTATAGGGGACACAGGGCAGGACCAAAGACTACTGGAGCCTTGAAGCATTTAGTTTTGCATTCAACCCTATGCTTGATGTGAGATTATATATATATATATATATATATATAATAAAAAGGCTTAAACACGTGGATAAAGGCGTTGGTTAGCCTTTGATCTGTAAATGCAATCTAATGCAGTCTCATGTCTATTACCATTTGCACAGCCCTAAATGAAAATCATATATGCCTGCTCATGATATGAATATCCTGCTATTGTTAAATTATAATAATTTATTATATTGGAATCGTAATTACGATCCAATTCATCAGACCTACAAATTCAAAAAGAAATCAGAAAAAAATAACTCCGGGAATAAAAAATAAAATTTAGTGAGTGTATGTATGAGAGTGGGGGACAAATGTGAGAGGTAAATGAAAGCTCTAGAGAGGGGTAACAGACGAGAGAACAGGAAGGCCTAAAAGTGAAGGGGGGAATTAAAAATTAACAGAAGTTTTAAAGAGAGTAGTTAAAAGATGGTTTAAATGAGCTTTCATTTACCTCTCGCAATCGTCTCCCACTCTCCACTTGGTTCTACACACACATGCACCCATTGGATGATTGACTAATGGATCCTTTCAAATACTCCTGCATAGTGTCAAATGGTTTTACAGGCCTCTAGACACATTGATGAAGTGTCTGCATTATTAATGTCTGCTGCATAAGCCAACTGTTTTAGGTGGCACCACAAATAAAATTCCAAAGGACTAAGGTCAAGGAAACATGCAGGCTATGGAATTGGTCCTCCCCTACCCATCCATCTTTCATGATAGATGTTAGCCTGTGCATTGCGAATAATCTAGCTGAAATGTGCTGGAGTATGATCATGTATGAACTACACTTGTCTTCATATTAGCAGGGATACATCCTCTAGCAGGTCTGGAAGTGTGTTTGAAATTAAGTCCCTGTAGACAGCTCCTGGGAGAACATGGACCTACCAGACAGTCACCTACAATTCCAGCCCACATTAACCATAAACTGATGCTGGTGTTTAATCTGTATTGTATCATGGGGATTCTGATCCGCCCACAAATGTTGGTTGTGTAAATTTTTTATTCCATCTCTTCATAATGTTTCCTCATCTGTAAATAAAACTGAAGATACAAATAACAAATTGGCAATTTGTGCAAATTACCATTGGCAAAAGTTTCCCCATGGTGAGTTATCAGTGGGTGAAAGACCCTGCAGGCATTGCAAATGATATGGATACAGGAACTGCTCTTGAAGTACCCTCTATGCAGTACTATGTGATGTACGATGTGCTGGAGCCATTTGATGACAGCCTGTATAATCTGTTCTTCGTGGTCAGGCATATGAGTGGATCTCAATCTTCCCCAATCCATAGTTTATGGTGCCATAGATCCTGTCTCAGCAACACAATGATAAACAGCAGCAAAGGTTGGCTGCCTTTGATCTGTAAATGCAATCTAATGCAGTCTCATGTCTATGACCATTTGCACAGCCCTAAATGAAAATCATATATGCCTGCTCATGATATGAATATCCTGCTATTGTTAAATTGAACACTTCTCAGTTAACTCACAACTACACACATTAAACTTTGAAGACAGACTAGCCATAAATGTACATGAATGACAAATGTAACCTAATCTACATGCCAACACAGCATCATCTACTGTAAATTTTCTTTAAACTTAATAACTCAAAAATGAAAGATTTACAGATATATGTTTCCATGGACTTTTGTCCTTGTTTTGGTGTGAGAAACCGCTCCCAAAGTTTTTGAAAGTATTTTCGATATACCCTGTATATATAAAATAGGTCAATGAAGAAAATTTGAGAGATAAAAAAAACAATAAAAATAATAATATTGATAATAAGACTAATAATATTTATTGTATATTAGTCAGCCTTTCAGAAGCATGAAGAGAAAGATATGTCTATATTTCTGAGATGAGATATTATGTACACTACATTATTCGGAATATTGTCCTCATCTTTGTCGCCATATTTATCACAACGTTTTGGCTGTTGTATGCTCCGGCCTTCTTCAGTATCTGTCTATATTTCTGAGATGAGGTATTATGTACATTATTTACATTATTCGGACTATTGTCCTCATCTTTGTCGCCATATTTATTACATTGTTTCAGCCGTTGTATGCTCCTGCCTTTTTCAGGTGGTTGGAATGTCGAACTGAACCCTTTATTTCACTCACTGGGGTAGACTGTTCTAGTTCCATGTGCCATGTTTAAGGGATGCCAGTTGTCTGCTGTTAATTTTCCCTCTGAAAGTTCTCCACTACCTTAACTGGGTATTGAACTCACACTCTTTGGGTCCTGTCACTGGATCTAACCAATGCCTTTATCCACTGTGCCATGGTTATAATGTTTGAGCTCAAGTCATCCTTGTGCTGACTTGGAACAACCAAAGTAAGGTTCATACTTACTTCATCATTGGAGGGTCAGAAAACCTTGTCTGAATGCTGTGCATTGGGAAGTGAAAGAGAGTTTCTTTTGCTGGCCCTTTTTGGAAGTGTTTTTTTTTTTTTTTTTTTTAGTCTAGAAGTAAGTTAGGATAAGTCATGACAAGGATGGTTATATTGATCGAGCCTTGTGCTGAGTTGGAATGACCAAAATACAGGTACTTTATTCCTCAGTGGTAATTTGGCAAAACACCTGTGAATGCTATGCGTTGGAAAGTGGAAAGAGATATCAATCATCATTCAACCAGGGAAAAGAGATGTTTCCCCAGCAGGGACGTTTTCATCCATGTGCAGCTATATGTTGGAGCAAGGGAAAGAAAGAGCAGGAAATGTTTGTCTTTTTATTGAACCTAAATAGTGCCATCTAATTGGGCGCTTGGTGAAGTATAATAATTTCTTTTTCTTTATAGATAATTATCATTTTATTGATTAATTTTATTTCATGAACCCAGAAAGTTGAATCTATTTATTGTAAATAAAATCAAATGAGGCCATATTCTGTTGTCAAAAAGATTTTTGCATTGTAGAAAATTCACAGGTCCAGGTTTTTTTTATATTAAAAATCAAAATGTTCAAATTTCAAACAATAATAAAATAAAAATTTGAAAAAATGATGGGTC